ATCAATAAATATTTGTTGTTATCAGAGTGTTTTGGTATCGAACAACCATTAACTATAACTAGCAAGGATATATATATAACACCATCCCGAAGCAAGAGTTTCACAATCATAAATATACTTACATGTGTTCAAAAGTGTTCAAATTCGTGTAAAGGCTATGATCAGCTTAATGTTGGAAAAATAGATTGATAAAGAATTGTGCATCGGTATATTATGTGTCTGAGGAAAGGTAAAAATAGTTCATCTTTTTAAATTATGCATAAGTAAACGAGTATAAGCAGTTTCCACGTCAATGCGTACTGAATCAACAACCATGTCTGGTATATCCTGGTTGTTTTCCCAGCAATAAATGCGCTCCACATGGAGGTTTTGTTCAGTTCAAGCATGGAAGAGTGACAATTTCAGACTTGTGGTGTTGTGAATGTTAGTTAGATGTTTTAGTTTTGTTTTGTGTCATTTTTTCTTTGTTTGTTGTTGGGTGTTTTTTGGAGAGGGGGTTGTTTGTGATTGACCGGATTGACGGGAGAAAAACTACCGACCTGCGGCCAATACCTGGCGACTGCCCCACGTAGACCTAGAATAGGCGACCAAGCGGTGGGAGGCTAATGATCGTATACGGTCAGACGCCATATCGACTCATGTGAAGATGGTTTCCACGTACAATGGAGGGTAGAGATAGTTAAGGCACACACCTCCTGGTAACATTATTCCGACAACAGGCTAATTAACCAGTCATCGCCAACACATTTAAAGTTTTTCGTCAAGGAAAGGGAAGAAAGTACGATATCGATCTCTATGGTTTGTTTTATCAGGAAACAAGCCATTCGGATTGATATGTCTCGCTGTGATCATCAATGTACATATCAGAGAAACTAACTTAAACGCAAAACCTTAATGTTGATGGAGATGCTGACAACCCCAATGGACAATGTCCTTTTCATTATTTATAGAGAGCTATCAGGGTGATTTGGTATGGAACAACCATGAATTATGGATGTCAAAGAGAGAAGAAGTATGTACAAAATCGAAGTATAGTCTGTATTTAAATAAATAACAAGGTATGTGTGGGCATCATTCAAGCGTTATATCGACTACTTTATTACTACATTATATTTCTATGTTGATTGAAAATCGTAGGAGATGTTACTGGACAAATTTCATCACCCTAGGCCTCTCGATTATTCAGGAGAAGTTGTTTAAAGGTTTTTAACATATTTGACCCATGTGACCTTGAATATAAATCAAGGTCATTTATTTGAACAAACTTGGTCGCCATTTATCCCAATATGTTACTGGACAAATTTATGCACCCAATGCCTATTGGTTATTCAGAAGAAGTTGTTTAAATGTTTTTAACATATTTGACCCATGTGACCTTGAATATAAATCAAGGTCATTTATTTGAACAAACTTGGTAGCCATTTATCCCAATATGTTACTGGCCAAATTTATGCACCCAATGCCTATTGGTTATTCAGAAGAAGTTGTTTAAATGTTTTTAACATATTTGACCCCTGTGACCTTGAATATAAACCAAGGTCATTTATTTGAACTTGGTAGCCCTTTATACCAGCATGTTACTGGCAAAATTTAGGCACCCTAGGTCTCTTGGTTATTCAGAAGAAGTTGTTTAAAGGTTTTATACATATTTGACCCCTGTGACCTTGGATATAAATCAAGGTCATTTATTTTAAACAAACTTTGTAGCCCATCATCTCAGCATGTTACTGGCCAAATTTAAGCACCCTAGGCCTATTGGTTATTCAGAGGAAATTAATTAAATACTTTAAACATATTTGACCCCTGTGACCTAGAATATAAGTAAATGTCATTTATTTAAACAAACGTTGTAGCTCATCATCTCAGCATGTTACTGGCCAAATATCATCACCCTATGCCTCTTGGTTATTCAGAAGAAGTTGTTTAAAGGTTTTATACATATTTGACCCCTGTGACCTTGGATATAAATCAAGGTCATTTATTTTAAACAAACTTTGTAGCCCATCATCTCAGCATGTTACTGGCCAAATATCATCACCCTATGCCTCTTGGTTATTCAGAAGAAGTTGTTTAAAGAATTTCACATATTTGACCCATGTGACCTTGAATATAAGTCAAGGTCATTTATTCGAACAAACTTGGTAGCCCTTCATCCCAGCATGCTTCTGACCAAATATCATCACCCTAGGCCTTTTGGTAACTGAGAAGAAGTTGTTTAAAGTAAAATGTTGACGACGGACGGACGGACGACGGACGGACAGACGACGGACGCCGCACCATGCCATAAGCTCACTTAGCCCTTTGGGCCAGGTGAGCTAAAAACCTGTTAGTATCCAGTCCAGTTGAATGGTTTAATTAATGCTATTGCCGTTCAATTGGTACCTTAAGTTATAAGCAAGGACAATTGTGGTAGAAACACAGACAGCTTCTGCAGTGTTTAGAAATGATCCATGAATGACATACTGTAAATAAAGACATTATCTTTATATCTCAATGTCCTTGCGTAAACCAGGTATTCAATTTATCAAACACAATAATTTAAAATCTATTCCCAAATATATATAGCGTCCCATTCGAAGAAATATTTTTCCTCGTCGAAGTAAAATAAACGTAGAATGTTCATGACTGACGTGTATTGCATATCAACAATAATTAATTTATTAAACACCTGTCCATTAGATTGATTCAACACACAGATAGAATGTCCCATTTACCAAGTCATTTTCCTTGAAGTGTAAAACATTAGACATGCATGAACGTAATGATAACGGTACTGATAGGCTGAACTATCAACGAGTCAGAACAACTAAAATATTTATTTCTACACTAGTCATCCTATAGGGAATAAGTTGTCTGTATTCTGTCAAGCGTGTTAACGTTGTAGATGTATCGGTGGAATTATTGATTTAACTATCATATACTATTGAAAATGAAATAGGAAATAGGAAACGCCAATAGAATAAAAAATATTATATGTTAATTATCTGTGTGACAATTTTGAAATCCAAGATAAAGTTATATTGATTTTTACTAGCAAATACAAATATAGTATTGAGTACCGCTGTGTTTTGTGAAGGAACGTGAAACAGCACTTGAAATGTTGATCAACGTACAAAATGAGCTGGTGCACCGGCCGACACAAACAAATATCGACATGCCAACACTTCATGTTTACATAATGTAGAAATTATTTATACAAACACGACAACCCATACGTACACGAGATGAAACAAAATGCGCCGTTCTGATCGATTAGATTTTTTTTGTGCAATGAATAACAAGCAGGATATTTAATTCATTCCATTTTTATGGCAAGAGAAGCAGGGAAACAAAATACTTTGAACCGTGGAACAGGATCACGTGAGTTCAGTAAAGTATTTATGTTGAGGAAATTTTCATCTATCTAAGTTATAGAAAATCAAAATAGTCTATAAGAAATGTTCTTCAATAAAGCAATATTTAACATAGTTCATCTACCTCAATTAATTCAATGACACGTTGAGTCCAATTTTCAAATTATTTATTCCAACAACGAACTCTAGCACCCCCCAGGTCAGGGACTTGGAAAAGAATATACGACCCATTTCCTTTACTTCCCACCCCTGCAGGTGGGGATTGGGGAAAAGATACACCTGCTGTTACACACCGCATGTTGTAAGAGGCGACATATGTGAGAACCCCTGCAGAATCGGGGCTTTGCTTTTTTGCCCTCTATTTTGGAACAGAAAATCGACCAAAATCAATATGCTTTCTACCGATATCTTTGGTTTCCAAGCACCTTGCTTGGCAATACCTCTCACGTTTGGCCTTCATGTTGAGCGTTGACCCAGGTGAGGAAGGCAATGAGTTCTGTACCCAGGCCATACAAAACCGGGACATACAAAAGTATTTAAAATGGTGTTTGTTTTCCTTGCTTAACGTTCAGCATTTAGGGTAACCCAAACAACAGGTTAATCCGTTGTCACAAATGTGACAGGGAGGAATGTTATGCTGGATGTCTTCAGTGAGGTAGCAATTCAGATCCGCGATATCGCAAGGCAAATACACCAACATTCGGCCTGCACCACACATATGCTTATACATTATACACATGGACACATGTCCTGTTATGACCTTAGCTGTTCATGGGACGCTAACCTCTATCAAACCAAACCAACATAGCTTTAGTCCCCCATCAAACAAACAGTGATATTTCTTATATAATAATGTACTTTATATATTCTGTCACGTCTGTTTACATATGAAATGTCCCAGTGATAAAGCGTACGCTTAAAGCTTATTAGGTGTGATACTGTGCGTGCTATTGAGTGGGTAAGACCATATCATTCAATACAAATCACAGGAGATCCAAGTTCTACAATCACAGGAGATCCAAGTTCTACAATCACATGAGATCCAAAGTTCAACAATCACAGGAGATCAAAGTTCTACAATCACAGGAGATCAAAGTTCACAATCACAGGATATCAAAGTTCTACAATCACAGGAGATCAAAGTTCTACAATCACAGGAGATCCAAGTTCTACAATCACAGGAGATCAAAGTTCTAGCATTATACCTAACTCAATATTTATAACACAAACTAAGGAGGTGAATCGAGAGTCACCACCGATATCGGCAGGAAAATTCACCTTTTTAACCCTTTCACCACTGTAGACCATAATGGGCTCGTCAATATCAATGCATGGTACAGTCTAGTAAAGTTACATAGGGGTGAAAGGGTTAATCCGTCAATGTGGGCAGTGATAACGATTACCGTCACAGGGATCTGGATTTAGCACAGATTAACAGTAGGTAAAAATGCCATCCCCATATGAATTCCAATTTACCATCTATAAATAGCAGTATTTTACCGAGTGTTGATCTAAACGCCTAATATTAATTCCTATATATCAGTAAAGGTCCAAACACTCATACTTTGATGAATGTTCAAGTCGGCTTATAAATGTACACAAACAAATAGGAATCAATTACAATGGTATAAAGAAATACAACAAGAATAATTTATACACATTTTATTGACAAATAAGCTGTGTCTGAACACTGTAAGCGTTGTATAAGCTGACAACATTAACTCCTTCCCCCCTGAAGACACATCTAAACTCCTCCAACTAAAAGGTTGAAATAGTTCATTATGAAATTTCAGGGGTGAATGAGTTAATGTACATAAAACTGCATACTTATTTTAACCCTGTCTTGAGATACCACACTTAAGCTGAAGGAAACTTTTTTTCCCAAAAGAGAGTTGATACCATTTTTATTTTATTTTAAATTAAAGAAACAAGAGCTTTCGGGAGTGCACCACTACACTAGTCATAATCGGAATTGGGTTTTTCCGACTATAATATTCTCCTAAACATAATATACAGCAACAAAAAGAAGTCTGTTCTGGTTTAGAGTTACTTCCCTTATCAAGAACTCATCATTGGTCAGTACATAGCCATCCATTACTTTAAAACCCTGTTAATGGTCTTTCATAAAAGTTTCTTATGAAAGTTTCAATTCTATTGTGAGTTTTGTAAAACTTCCTTTCACAAGACTAGGGACTAGTAGATCTGGGTCTGTAGTCATGAAATTGTTCGTATGCTCAAGCATATCATGGATTCTGTGTTAAAACCAGATTTCTGGTAACTCACTAAAATCATGTAAAACAATCAAAAACGTCAATGTTAAGATTAATACAGTATCTGGCTTTAAGTATCTTCAGTTGTTTTCCAAATCATTCACAAAATCCATTTTTTTAAAATAATTTATGACTGAAACAAGAAATCAAGCTTGAGCAAAACATCCAGGCTTGAGCATGAGGATGGTTTCATATGAATACGGGCCCGGGTCTTTGGACTGAGTGGTCTCCCAAGACACAGTTAACTGTATAAAAATGTAACATACCTATACATCATATTCACCATTTCATGGCCCACTATATAATAACTACATTGGCATTCATATCAGATATGAATCGTTCATGTTTTCCAGTTCATAATTTAACAAAATGGATGTTAAGATTCTGCAATCATGCTGGCATTAATATCAAAACAAAATATGTTTAATCCCTGTATACATAAAGTAAAACCATAATGAAATGCCCCCTTATTAAGTAATGAACTCATTGAAGTGGCATTCATGGGTGTTTGAATACCATACATATTTCACAGTTTGATTACAGTGTGATAGTGTGAAAAGTTTGTCAGGATTAAACTTGGCATTCATACACCCATAAATGCCACTTTAGTTAAGTTTACTGTTGATAAAATTTATATTCAAAGCTACATTTCATAACTTTTTATATTGTCCTTTTGGTTTTAAAATCAAGTCATAATAAATTGAAATTGACGCAAGTGGGAATAAGGCAAGAAAGAATAGCCAGTCTGCTAAGGTGCAGGAATGGATGTTGAAAAGTTTCATAATGAATGTTTTATAATGAACTTCTACTTCTACAGTAGGGATATATAGTAGAGTTGCACAACCAATACAGATATTTCTATTTGTTTATCTCCCATACAGCCAATATATACATAATGCCACTTTTTTCCTTCTTCTTATACATCCTTTTTTACCCTCAATACAGCATAAAACACCTTATACATAACATACCTGCTAGGTCACCTGCATTTACACAGGTCAATCAGCAAATGACCTCGATGACCTCTAAGACCTACACAGATTTCGGTAAATTCTGAAATCTATGTACTGCTTTGCTCATATCGGTGAAAATGTTTAAACAAGAGGCCCAAGGGGCCTTAATGGTCTGTACCTTAGTTATGCAATATAGATTTGATTTCAAAGGCGAGACATGAAGTTAAAAAAAACAGGAATAATCTGTATATTACTTGCCATGTCACAAAAATACACAAAAAAATAGGTTCAGGTGACCTTAAAACACTCTTTTACAACTTTAAAAATTTAAATTCTCCTCGAACAAGACATCATAATGTTAAAAAAACAACTTATCATAATATATAATTTGTAAAATTACTCTAAAGCGCTATACAACATATGGATAAAAGTGTTAGTTACTCATGTTAAACAAAAAAGACTTTAAATCACCATTATACATTCAGCATGACTTGACATGAACATAAATACCATTTTCTCCCACCTCAGCAACATACACATCTCTAACCCTGGACGAGGCTTGCCAAGTGTTTGACAGCTTAAGAATCTTACCCCGAGGGTTGAGATCATCGTCTCACTCCCAAGGGGGTGAATGATTATTTTTCTCTTACCCTGTTTCCCTTGTATTTTACATAGACGTTACATCAATGCAAGATAATGTTGATGTGATGCGGCTGAATTGTCGACATGACGTCATTGTATTGTTGCCGTGACGTCATGGTATTGTTGCTTTGACGTCATACAATTGTTGAGAACGTGCAAAGAACACGTGTAGCTTGTCTCAACCCTAGGGTGAGATAAGAAAATCTCATTCCGGTAAAATGGTGGATATCCCTGACCAGGGTAAAAGAAACACATTTCTCTAACCCTGGACAGGTGGATCTGCAACTTTACAATTTTCTGCTATTTCAAAATATGTTCTTGGTAAGTTTGTATGGTGTCCAGAAAATCTACTATATTTAAGGAGTGGTTGTCATATTTTTGACATGCATTGGTGTGTAACATACATTGGCTTACCTACATATTGAATATGACAACCAATACTTATATTTACATTTTATGTTGATCAACTTACAGTTCACGCAGAAATAAAGACATAATATTAGTCTGAACACGTTTCAACGTCAGGGTAAATCCATACAGAGAACAGTCACCAGTTGACAGTGGAGCAGTGCAATCTCCAACGTTACAGTTATGACGTCATAAGCGTAGCGACGTCACAATGGCCCAACGCATGTTATACGGAAATAACGTACATTGGGCCCAGTAGAAACATCTAGGCTCTGTGCAGTGGAAATGTAAATATTTCTTGCTGCACTCACAGTATTATTGAGTAAGAAGTGGGAGAAAAAGAGCCTATCATTATGCTGGTATGTGGAACATGAAAACTCTACCCTTGGGTGTGGAAATTGGGTTTAAAACCTCGGCAAAGCCTTGGTTCTGAAATCATACAACCTCAGGTAGAATTTCCTTATCTCACATACCTACATATGATCGACTCTATCAATAAACCATTAAAATACAATTTTGTACAGTAAATGCTGATTGTATATAGAATTTTATATCAGTTTTGATTTTGTATAGAATCAATATGAAAAAAATCATAAAACTTTTCCTTTTAACAAGCTCTGCCAATAAATAAATATGATTTTTTAGTTTACAATGAAGCTAACCGAACATGACTAAAATATTAGCAAAAACATTGACTAACAAAATACATCAGAAATTTTTTTTACATGTTTAAAGCTCCTTCAAAATTGACTCAAATATATGTTTGGCATAATACATGCAATGCTGTGAAACGTGACTATATAAATTAAAACCATAACAAAAGAATGGAATAATATTATTGATTTGCCGTGTTGATAAGTAGGGCTACTTTGTATATAATACGAAGTAGGCCTACTAATCAACATGGTAAATAAAAATGGAACTCCTATAGCAAATAGTGGCAAGATCAATTTACAATCATAACACATACACAGATCCAGGTCAGAATGTAAAGGATGGATACAAGTTAACTTTGTTTATTTTTTTGTAGGTAAGAGATGGAGGTTCAACACCAAGGATTCTGTATACGTAACTGTATGTTTTATAAGTTGAAGAATTAGTGACGAGTTTCATAAATTCCATACGAAATGAAAACGAGTGTAAGATCCTTTTTATCACATAATCAAGATTTGTGGCATTATTCATGTAAAACGACAATTTTCATGCAAACCACCATTTTGACTCAGGTGCGTAAGTCTGTGACGTCATGTACTTGTCCTAGGCATGACGTCACAATTGAAACAATTGAAGCTTACAACCGATCACAGGGCTGATTGGTCATATTAATATGCAAAAAAATATGACATGGGTATATTTACTGGATAACACAGTACATTATGTAATAAAAGTAGATAAGTGATGGAGCATCAACACCAAGGTTTCTGTAACTGTATGTGTTATTAGTTTACATGTTTCGGATGGCTAGGCCAACTGTCATCAGAACCATATTAATTTAGTTTGTGAGAATTTCAGCTGAATTGTACTGCTTATATACAGTTGCAGTGATAATAACAAATACATTAGCTTGAGAAAAATAATAATCTTGTGAGAATCTAGGTTGAATGCAATATTTACTTCATCATTATGGTGAAACAGATATATATAGTTAATGCTCAGCCATTGATATATAAAACAAAATCTCTAGCTCAAACAGAAGATACCAACCTCAATAACAAATTCTCTGTTTTCCTTACATAAAACAGCAATGTTGAACTCTGAATAAAGCAATACTGATACATGTATATTCTTATCATTTAAAAAGCAGGAACATTTCTCCATTAAAAACACAAATACAGAATCAGCAAAGCATTGCGTAGAATGGTTTTGCTCCAAACCATATCATCATTTTCTTTTTATGTCCCTAAACTTTAGATCAAAATAATGAAAATTATTTCAAGCATTTTTCATACATCCTGGCACACACTGGTATGTTCTGTGACTAAATGAGTTTGTCCAACAATGTCAAGAAGATTTAAGATGGATGCTATTATTTTCAGTTAAAAAATTAGTTGTTTAATACTGAAAAGAAAGAATAAAACTTAAAGAAAACACAAGACTACATTTAAACAATACTAACAGAAGGTAAAACATGGGATCCTGTAAATTAATAGCAAATCTCATACCGTAAAAATCGTTTAAAAAGGTATCTCAAATGGTAAAATCTCTCATCGTAAAATCTCTCATCGTAAAATCTCTCATCGTAAAATCTCAAATTATCAAGTAAACATTCCTTTTTTCAATTCTTTCATTGAAAAACAATGAAAGTTCTTGGAGTGAAAAATATCATTTATTTTAATTTTACTCAAGGTGTATTAATAATAGACATTTATCACTTTTAATACATTTGTACAACCTATATTGTGACAATCACAGTAATGGCAACTATTATTGTGAAATATTGTAACAATTCAAAGGTCATTATCATAAATTTGTTACACACTCTGCATTAAGACATTCAGTTCAATTATTCCTACCGTTTCAGAGATTTTATATCTCACCGTACAACCATTACCATAGATGTTAACCCTAATCTGACACTGATATAGCAAATATTTCACATGATCAAAAGTGTCAACGTTGATTAAAAATATGCATGTCCCTGCAAGCATACATAGTTTACATTTCAATTAGCCTGATCTATGCAGCCCAATTATTAGGTTTAACCCTTTCATCCCTAGGTAACTTGAGTAGACTCTACCAGGCATTGATCTGGGTGTACCCAATCTGGTCTACAGTGCTGATAGGGTTAATGTCAAGGCTAGTAAAAATATTTAATAATTACTGTTCAAATATAGGTCAAGCATGTGGAATTTTTCAAAATTTGCCTGCATATAAGTAGATAGGAAAATGTATATTTGTACACCGCCGTGGAAATATACTGCACAAAGCGATTACAATACAGCAAGAGTAAAGTATTCTATCAAATGTCTTAACGACCACAATTCAATCACCGACCTCTGATCATTGTCCTGTGGCTCTAACCAGCTTAGCTTTCTGGGCCTGTTCGTTTATGCAGAACAAATGGTACGTCCGTTTTTAAATGTGACATTTTCGGGTATAAATCCTGGAAATGTTGATGCCGGCCTTGCATGACTTTGACAAGGTTCGCCTGAAAGTGGCATCAGAATACTAGGTCCGACTATATTTACTAAACGAACAATTCTGGTCCAACCGGTTCAACCTTTTGGAACACGATAAACGAAAAACGGCGCTGGTAATCAGTTATCAGTAGTACACTGGCCTTGTTATGCTACAAATATATCCAAAATGACTTTAAGTGGGCGTTACTCCATGTACAAAACACTACAGGAAATGTTTCTGGTGATTTGCCTTCAGTGGGACAGGGATCCTTAAACATGATGTTTTGAGTTGAGAAAAGATTCATATAGCACAACCAGTAAGTGTTTATATGTGATGCTTCAATGACCAGTAGGATATGAACTCTGTCACGTTCATCGATTCATGTCAATTCGGCTACCATATAAGACATACTATATAGACACTCCGTTTAGCCTCTAGAAGTGCTGAAGTGGGACAGGTTAGATGCAGGGGTCTGGAAAAACTTGTCAAACAACTAGACACAGGACTAGAGACCTAAAATAGTCATTGTCTGAATTAGCGAACATCTTATCTGAATTCACTTAATATTAGTTGATGTTTTCAAAGTATATTTTTCGTCTGCATATCCAGAATTTATAATAAATTAAATGTCTGACAAATTTATTTGATAATGTTGATACAACAGTAAAAAATGAAAGTACAGTTTGGCGATTGCGTAAAATGAAGATTGGATCAAGCTGGGTTTCAGAATTTGTTTTTTTTACTTGTCCACGAGGGCTGAATGAGTATTTTTCTAGACCCCTGCTGGACGGGGTTTAATAAAGACATCAGGCTTACATCACAGATAATACATCCTTGATACAAGTCTTATCATAAACTTTTCGTTTTACATAATTAAATTAATGCAATTTGGTTATTTTCCTTTGATTTGAATCGTGTTATGAGAAAAGAAAAATATTTTTTTATTAACACCTTTATGAAATCTCTCTTCCAATATTTTGTCGGGACAAACTTGAGATTCTGTTCAAAAACCTAAAACTACTTACATGACAATGAAAGCATGGAATGTTGTTTCAATGGCTGGTACAAACAATAATTGAACACCTTTTATATCACTGACCTATAACAATGTGATCAGACTACAGATATCGATCTCTGGGACACACCTTACCATTAACATTAAGGTGGATAGGTACATCTGGTAAGTTATCAAATTTCCCATCCCACGCCGTCAGTATTGGATCTTTATTCTCCGTAACGGTTTGCGATTTAGAGTAATGAAGTCCAGCCTCTTTCCAGTTGATGGTCAGTCCACATTTTCCCGGGAGATTTGGGTAGATTGACCGTTCCTTGAACTTCCAGGCGTGGTATACATGCCACATGGACCACATACCCCCGGTCTTCCCCTGCTTCAGGAAATTATTATACCAAAGTGTCGGCAGTATGCCTGCAACTGTTGGGTGAAAACCTGATACCTCCGACATGTTATCATACCATTTCACATATTTTATCCAATTTTCTCGACTTGGTGAGAATCCCCACGTACCCAGAATCGGATACATGAAGACAATATTTTCGTCTGGAGCTCGCAGCTGTCCCGGTCCTCCTCCGTGTTTCATGCTGTAACCCTGAAGTGCGAAACCGTTGATGTACAACAATGAATCGTACTTCGCGTGAACATTTTTTAACCATTTATAGAAATATTTCGACACTGTCAAATCATCCTCCAGTATCACAGCGATTTCTTTACTGTCCAATGACGGATTCCAAGTCTTCATCCACTGGCCATATATCCCAGCATGCTGCGTCTGGTTATGAACATTAATGATACCGTGTTTGAATTTAAACTGTCTGGCCTTTGCGTAGGTCTCCTCATGAATGACACCATCCTTGGAACGATCGATCCAAACATCAATGGCGACCTTGTCACCTAAATAATCGGCCTCGTTTAACGAGTTCAACAATCTCAGAACAGAATTCCCACGATTATAGGTGATAACAATCACGCGAAGGTCAAGGTCAAATGGTGTACTCAATGGGAGATCAATAAATCTAACCGATGTCTTGTTTGTGTGATGACCTTGATGGACCACTGGGACATTCACCTGTAATGTCGACTGAAAATATAACACCAAATCTTACATGTAAATGATGAGTTTTGGATTAAAATCGTACAAATCCATAAAGCATATGACCGTGCATTACATATCTATACAAATTCAAAATAACTGACAAAATCTAAAAGTACAATACATGCGAGTCATATTATGAAAAATATGATGAAACCTATTCATTATTTATTGGTGACGGGCTGTTAAGAAACACATACTGAGTGAGAATTGGTAACAAGTTATATAATTGACCTCAAACACTAACAAATATAAGAAAAGATATGTGGAGTATTAGTCTTATCAGAAATCTTTTTCTTTTGAACATCCTTACCAAAGAAAATGTGCTTCCTAGAGAAGAAAAGTTGTCTAACAACAACAAGAACTCTTCAATATATTTCTGTAACAGCAATTCATCTCAAAACAATATAACAAAATGTGGTGAGTAGTCTTATTTGTTTTAAATCTTTTTGCTTTGAACATGAAATCTGTACCAAGTCTTGGTTCAATGAACTATTTAAATGTGCTTTCCAGAGAAGGAAAAAAGTCTAAAAATGGCAATACCTGATCCCAGATATTTCTATCGTAACAATCTGTACCATGCATGTGTGTTGGAAATTCAATACATCTGTTAAGTATAGGAACACAGTATAGCGACCATAGGACAACAACTCCCAAAAAAAGGACTGAAAGTCTTCTGTTTTTGATACTTATGCACACAAAGTACCATCAAACTTTTACTGAAATTCTTAAAGAAAACTAAAGTTTCCACATAGTGGTAAAGGTTAACATTGACCTTGAACAATTGAATAGAAGTACTGACCTTTGACCCTGAATCAGAAGTACTCAGCAGGTTCGGCCTGGAAGGCCGGTTACGAGTTAAGTTGAAGATGTTCCAATCATAGTCGAGGAGCTGGAGGGTAACCACGACAACGATCAACCAGATCACAACCTTGGAGCACCTGGACCACCTCATTTTATTACAGCAGTCCAGTGTGGCAGCTGGTTAATGGGCGTCTCGTCAGTCCAGTGTGGCAGCTGGTTAATGGGCGTCTCGTCAGTCCAGAGTACTAGCTGGTTAATGGGCGTCTCGTCAGTCCAGTTTGGCAGCTGGTTAATGGGCGTCTCGTCAGTCCAGAGTACTAGCTGGTTAATGGGTGTCTCGTCAGTCCAGAGCACTAGCTGGTTAATGGGATGTCTCTTCAGTCCAGGGTGCCAGCTGGTTAATGGGCGTCTCGTCAGTCCAGATTACTAGCTTGTTAATGGGCGTCTCGTCAGTCCAGAGTACTAGCTTGTTAAAGGGACGCCTCTTCAGTCCAGGGTGCATAGGGGAGTGTCGTGTTTTGAGGCCACAATGCAGCAGGGGTAGAAGTTGTGAACACTAAGTTCAGGGTCCTGTAAATGTGCGAGGTCTACCCAAACAAGGGCTCTGTTGGGCGAGAGTCTGTAAGAGAGATAACAATAAGGGTTACTTGGTACAGGTAGACCTAGACTTAATTATACCAGAAGCTCTCGTCACTATTTTTTCTGTGCAAACTTCATGTTCATTGACCTTATTCAGTCTGTCTTTGAGCTGGACATTTAAGAATTTTACCCCTTGCAATTGGATTTTTTTTCTGTTTCACCCCATAGTGGAGAGAGATTTACATGGATATATACAAGCCTTTTTATGGCCGAATATGGGCCAGTTCCCCTCTCCAATTTTGGCATTATTTTCCCCTATTTCAGCTTTATTTTCCCCTTATTCAGTTTAAACTTTCACCCATATGTAACTAAAATACTACCTAATGAACATCTGTCTTGGTTCCATTTTCTTTTAATTTTAATTTCCATCAGTTCAACAAGAGTGATTTAATTTAATTTTCCCTGTGTTGCTATTAATTGTCGCTGCTGATACTTTATAATCTATAGTGAACAGCGGGAAACAAAATTAAAGATGTAATCCATGCCTCGTACTCTCCCCCTGGCTCCAGACTCGCTGAACGGGTCATCCACCTACAACGCATATAGTTTCACCTATTTCATAAAAGGGTACCGACTTTCTATTCCCGCATTAATCCCTGATTTATATTTAGCAGTGACAAAGTAAGGTGACCTATACTATATATTTAGTATGATTTCCTGCACTTTGACCAGCTGTTAACTTTATACTTTATCTGCTTTCTGGTGTGTTGCTGATGTAAGATTAGTAAGCAAGTGTCATCTTTACAAATGTACCGAAACATCCTATTCTGAGGTACCGAAACGACCAGAATTCCTTTAACATAGGAAAAAGAAAACTACGCCCTGGATCCTCCACTCTTGTATGAAGAAAATGGACACCTTCATCCCTACTACTCCAATGAACAGGTTGCGCACAACGGTGCATATGGGTAATAATCCTGTATTTGGGTAAGTTACCAAAATGCAGGATGGGTAAACTAACATCTTTGTATGTTATAGTTGAATGCACTTCGAATCTACTTTCACTATCCTATAAAAAAAAAAATGTACTTCACTATCTTTATTAAAAATCGCTATTTATATGGTTATTATAAACAACTTTTGGTTGAACGTTTTTTCGTGTTTTGACATTTCCGTGATTTTAGATGTCCCGACTTTTCAAAGGCTTCAAAGGTCGTGAAATACTTTCAAAACCAAAAACTGTTCAACCAAAAGTTGTTTGTAATAACCAATAGATATGGCGATTTTTAATAAAGATAGTGAAGTACAAAATTTTGATTTTGTTTATAGGATAGTGAAAGTAGATTCGAAGTGCATTCAACCATAACATACAAAGATGTTACCCAGAACAGATGAAATTTACAAGAGTTTTTACTTGCTTCTTTTTCATACTGATGTGTAAGAAACTATGTTTGTATGAGTGCCCTCTGATTCAGTAACACATATCCATATTGTTCTTTGTTTCATATCGTTGCTAGCCACTGGAAATCTTACTTCAGAGGATGCTCACAGCTACCGGAAGTCTACTATTAAACTTATAGCAAGGCTACATCCGCGTATCCCGGTTGAAACGGTACGTGTGGCGCAGAAATTTTCCACGATAAACGAACAAACTTGGACCGTTCTATAATCAGAGCTAAAAATCCACAGTTTCGGAGAATAAAAAACAATGTATCAAGAATATTATATCCTTCTCTCACGCGTCCACTAAATAACATAACGTATCTTAAAAATTACATGTGACTTGACATTGTTTAAGAAAGAAATAACGCAAATTGGCAATAGTCAGCATTTTAGTTTCGGTCAGGTACGTCTGGACCCCTCAATCTACACGTACCAAATTTTCCTGAGCTGTCGTTTTCTTTACAGGTTCAACCGGTTTCAACCGTTTCAACCGGATACGCGAATGTACCCTATTTATAAGCGAAGTCATGGAATTCAGACGTGTAAACGTGAATGTAACGTTGTATCATTTTTATACTATCACAACAGCTACGCCTATAAAGGAAATCGTTCTTTATGTATAGGAGAGAACGTCACTTACCATTTAAGTTTACATGTGGTATTTAATCCCTCGACGAATCAATGTTTACTTCGCCAAATAAGATCTTTTTGTATGTGAATTTGAAGCGTTTCATTGATTATGACAATAAATTCTAAAATTAAAACCCTCTTTAATAGCGGACCGGATATTTCCTAATTTCAAAGGGATATAACATACAAAGCGCGATTTTGTTCGCAAACGAAATAAGACTACATTTTCCATGTAATTTCATTTCCTCTTGATGTATTTTCCATGTTCGTTCATGTCCTTCAGTATTGGCGATTGTTGATATAGGATTTTATCATGTACATTGCGGAGGTAAAATATGTGTTAGCTAACAGAAAGATATACCACGGACTTAGATAATTCCGTGGATATACACATTAAGTTAAAAAAAACAAGCATGCTATCGATTAAGTGTATTCAGCGTAAGGAAGAATATTGATAAAGGATATCTTACGGTTAATGAAATAGCTATAATATATATTTCACGGTGTAATATCGATATAAGATATATGACCACGGAATTAGATTCTGTGTTCGTATGACAGATATCTATATGGGTCCATGTTGATTGACCAATCAATCGACCCATATACTTACGTGCCATTTCCATGCGCATGCGTATGTGGTGAAGTACAGACACACAAGTGTTTGAAAAAGTTGGTTCAGAACGGTGATGTACAACTTCTTCCCGAGTATCTGAAATCAGAGACGTAAAACTACATGGCTTTGCATGTCTCTGCTGTAATACAGTTATATATTATTTAAGTTTTCAAAATAGAATTTATCAGAACGGCATTGAAAAATAAATTCAAAATTCGATGTTCATTTATTTTATATATGATATAAAAAAAAATGCTTGATTTTTTGTTTTAATTATTTCGACAATGTCCTTAAATGACAAGTGGAACAATCCACCTGTACATGTTGGCAATACTGACACAGTTAGCGAGTTTGGAATTTTAGTTAATGAGCATTTTAAAGAAACACTCTAAGATACGGGAAACACAATAATGTTGTTATTAACACTCCTACCAATTATCTGTTAAATATTTGTTGATGTGAACCTAGATGTCTTAAGCCTTCGTCTATTATTATTCAATTAAATTCGATTAAATTATCTTAGCCGTTAACAGGACAATCGGTCAAATAAACCAAACCATGCTACACTTACCAATACTGAATGATGCCAAGCTGGACACACTGTAGGTATTTCTGTTGCAGTCAAATAGCTAATCATAAGTGTGTGGTACGCAGGATCAGTTTCCACGCTGAAATGTACAGAGATACATCATGTACAATAAGAAATAAACTATTAGGGTAAATGCACGGCAAGACCGGGATTCGAACCCGAGATCTACGAACACTAGACGGACGTTCTCACCAATTCAGAGTTACCTGGCCGCCAGCGATCGACCAATTCCAGTTCCGACACACAGCCAGAGATAAATCATTTACAATCAGAGACAAGCTCGTAAGAAGATTTCCTGTCCAAACCAGACATCGACCCGACAACCAACGACTTCTCAATTCGCCACTCTGCTGACAATCGCTCTATCGCGTTGCTATAAAAAGACTGAACTATTATATACAAATAACACAAGCCCCCGGGGAATAGTGACAAAGAAGGAATAATTAGAGGTAAGATGAAAAATCAGAAAATAAATAAGTTAAAAAACAATTAATCTAGAGTAAAAGGTTTAGATTTTGTTCTGAAACATACCTTGGTCAGTTCCTTGATATATGTCATACATGCCAAAACCACCATCTGTAGAATAAACTTACCACATCAATCCCGAGCACATGTCAAAAAAGCAGGTTAGAAAACTTTGCATGAACATCGTCATCAAAAACAATACTATAGCTTTAAACATCATGTCGGTTCGTCACTGTAGTAGAATAGAGCGTATAGAACAACAGCAATGCTGACTATTGCTTAGCAACATGGGACAATGCCACAACGTCACCAAGTGATAGCACATTCATGACGCGTTAGTGTTTATGACGTCATACAATTATATTATCACGCAGGATTGACTGTCAACCTTTTCATGTGAGGTGCGTTCGGTAGCGAGAACGTTCGCGAACGTTTTGACAGTTTGCTCAAAAAGTACACTGCTTGTGGCGTTAACATTACATTTTGTATATGATACACAATGAGATGAACAGGGTAAGAGAAAAAGAATCATTCACCCGTTGTGGATGAGATAGGGGAATCTCAACCCCCGGGGAAAGATTCTATTAATCTTTCCTAGGTCGTTAACGTTTCGACATACTATAGATATACTATGACTTAAAAAACCCACGGATAACTTTACTTAAATGATGTCACTCGATAATGATATTATAAAGGAAATAAAATATCAACATATCTAGAAATATATGTATTGCTGCAGTTTGGAAGTTTATCAATAATTCAATGTGGGTACGTATATTCCGGAATTTATTGTGGCCGACACCGTTGACGTTTCTATCACTAGAATATACATTGGACGCCATTATTTTTCCGAAAGCGTGATATTACCGGCGAGAAAATCAACATGAGGTATGAATGCATGTAAAAACTGTCAGTTTGCAGCCTATGCTTTATAAATATCCACGCTACTGAAAGTGGTTACACTTCCTCGTGCACTGTGATCACGGTCCAGTTTAAATAAGTGGAAGTCGTCTTTATTGGGACGGAAAATCGGAGACCGAGCTTTGTTTTGGTTTGCTGGTTGGGAATCGTACCTCATAACATGAAGGACTTCCCTCGTCTCACGCGTGCCCTGCTTTACATAGACAATTTGGAATGAAAACATGTTAACTGTTTTATAGCAGATACATGAAATATTGTAGACTAGTTAAAATTTCATCTACTGCCACAAAAATAATCATGCTAAAATCGGTTAAATTATCTACCAAGCACATAATTGGTATCCACTTAGGAAACCATATATATCCTATTTATACTTACATAGTTCAAGTATTTGGTGTTAAATACGATGAATAACATTGGTTCTGATATTTTCCTCATCTCTATTCAAGTTTATAGATAGTCATCCATGAGAGAAAGATGTTTCTCCTACTCACAAAGACTAGGCTTTGTTGTACAAATAGTATAGTAGTCGGCTATCAAAACATTTAACCTAACTACTTCACTTTTGGCTTTAGTGTTGAGTGTTCACCCAAGCAAGGAAGATTAGGTATAGGTTCTGTCCCTTGACAGAGATAAATTATTTTACAGCATCCATTACTTATATTTGATAATCAGATAATTCATGAAAATAAATCTCATAAACATCTTGGCGTAGTATTTAATACTAACGGTTCTTGGGGTGATCATGTAAAATATATTTATGATAAATCATGTAAAAGATTAAATATTCTACGTATGCTAAAACATAAAACTGATAGGAAATCTTTAGAACTACTATATCTCTCCTTCATTCATCCTACTTTAGAATATATATGCCTCTTCTGTCTGGGTTAATTGTAATATTGGAGAAGAAAAACTACTGGAATCCGTTCAAATTGAAGCAATGAAGATTATAACTGGTCTTAGAAGTGGTACATCTCATCAAAAATTATACTATGAAACAGGTTTTGAAAAATAAAAAGATTGACAGAATAGGCATAAACTTGTCTTAATGTATAAAATCCTCAACCACTTAACACCTGATTATTTATTTGACATCAGTGAACCTTATACTAATATACAAGTCAATCACCATTTAAGGACAAATAGATTTTTTAACATTCCTCATTCTAGAACTTGTATCTACATCTGTAGTTTCTTTCCTGATGTCATGCGCCTATGGAACAATCTCGATCATTCAATCACTTCTTCTCGGACTATCAATTCTTTCAAAAAGAAAATTAATAAAATTCAAACACCTCCCAGGACCATTTCTGAAGCTTTCATCACCTGTAATCCAAGAAATCTAAATATTGTATTGTGTCAATTACGTAATAATGCTAGCAATTTAAATTTTGATAAATGTAATGATCACTTGATAGTTGATCCATCTTGATCTTGTGGAGCATCTTGTGAAAATGCTGAACATTATTACTTCTTATGTCCACTTTATATTAGCTATAGACATTTCATAACTGACATCACTAATCATTTTGGATATTCATCTGTTGATCTACTTACATCTAGTAATGTTTATCTATCGACTGATGATAATTTATTTATTCTTTCAAAAGTTCAGCAATACATTTCTGCTACTAACAGATTTAATTAAAATTATGACTGTTTTCATTGCCTCTTACACTTATATTCATTTATATGTATAGATATGTATATCTTAAATTTAGAGTAAGGGCGTGTGTGTGTGTGTTTGTGAATGCTTATCTATTATGTGTATGTGAGGGTGTATGTGTTTTATGGTATGGTTGTAAGTGTATATGAGTGTGTCTCGTTGATCCATGTACTAAATCTATGCTTCTTGTCAATTAATACCGGATAGGAAAAGACTTATATAGGCTAAGCCTGTTGTCTTATCTAATTGTGCATTTTTTTTGTCCAATAAAATTTGTTGAAACACAAAATCAATTAAAATTTGTATTTCTGCTTGACATTCAGTTTTGAATATGTAGTGCTCAATAAGGACTGGTTTACCAGTAAAACATGACCAGGAGGATACTGTGCTTGGTGCCTTCAGCATGTTTAATTATTTTTTCAGTGAGGTAGCAATCTAAGGGTTGTCACTAGGGCCACTTCACATTTTTCGCAAGACAGTGTTCTCATTGAAAATCAGTTGCCGACAAAGATGGCCTGCTATACATCAACTTTGAACTGGCTGTTCTTTGAGAATATATTATTTTCCAAAATAAAACCACCAGTTTTAAAACTTGGTGAGAGCACTACAAGAAAGCAAACTATAGATACACAACATGCCTCCTGCATGCATTACATGCTTAAAGGCATGTCCTTAAACTATTAAATGTTAATTATATAAAAGGATGTAAATAAAATAAACCAACCCCATAGCTAAATACTCTAATATCAAAATCAGTTGAAGTTACAGCGGAAAGACCATGGCATAAAGTGCTGAGTCAATATCATTCATATTTATTCCACCAAAATAACAAAATTCTCCAGAAATATTGTTTTGTTTACAGTTTGTGAAAAGCAATAAATGATGGCTATGCAGGGAAATCAATTTTACAAACATGTACCAACCAGTTATTTAGTTTCTGTCACTGACAAAAAGTCCTTTTACAGCCTCCTGTTGTACAATAAGGCACGCCAATTAATAGTCCATAAACCAACTCAAATCCCTGCAAAAGTCTTATTTTTAATTTCACAAACTGTACAGGTTATTTCAACTATTCTGGATTTGGTGACCTACAATATTCATAAAAAATTTGCCTGTATTTAACTGTTTCCAGGGGAATGAGAGGACGGGGAGGGCCACACCCTATGAGAGGAGGAATGATGAGACCCATGGCACCACCTTTTAAACCTGGACCACCGTAAGTTAAAATGGCCAAATGTAAGTTCCCAGGTATTAATTTGTATTGTATGTAGCATGTCAAGGATGTATGAGGGTGTTGGAAAAAATGTGAAAGTGCACAAAATATTTCCTTTTTAACCCAAAGAAACATTTGACTTTTTTAAAAATAATTTGGCATGTTTTTGAAGCAAACATAATATAAAACAGCAAACTGTTACATTTCATATTTCTCTATATACACTGTCACTGTACTTGTGCATTTCTTTTCAGGTTCCGTGCATTTATTCCACATATTCCGTTTGACTTAGTGCAGGTGAGTGAATTATTTCTAACAAAATATAGATCACATTAAGACTGTATTTGGTAGTGTCTTATTTTGATGTGTGTCTTGTTTTAGTACAGTATGTATAGTAATTATACTTTGGTTACTATAAGACTAAGAGTAACTAGGGGGAGATCTGGAGTTCACAATTTTCTGTTGTATAAAACTGGAGATGTCTTGTGTTACAGTGCGAGTCCACATTTCCCAGAGCCAAACCCACACCTGATGACAAGAGTTTCACAGATGTAAGTACACAGGATTTTGTCAGATTTTATTTTACTTCAAAATTGCAATTTGCACTTAAATGAATTTGAAAATTGTCATTTTAAAGTTTAATATTTACAATGATATATAGAATTTAGTAAAATTGGATGTCATTTACAAAAGCCCAGAATCGTAACATCATTTCAATGTGCTATGTGATGACATTAAATTAAATCACTTTTAATGTTTTTGTCCAGTTTCGTATCTCTTCTGCTGACAGGGTTTCTGCCGCTTTTCTCTAAACTATCAGTCGGAATTAAATGAAACTTTACATGAGTGTTCATTTTTAGCTCACCTGCCCATAGGGCATTAAGTCATGGTGCGGTGTCCGTCCGTCCTCGCCCGTCAACTTTTCCTTTAAACAACTTCTTCTGAAGAACGGACAGGCCTAGAGTTATGATATTTGACTGAAAGCTTTGTTGGTAGAAGTCTGACAAAGTTTGAGAACGAAAATGACCTTGACCTACTTTCAAGGTCACAGGAGTCAAATATGTCAAATGCTTCAAACGACTTCTTCTGAAGAACTAAACGGTATAGCATCTTTATATTTGATTGATGGCTCCCTGAGATAGTGTCCGGCAAAGTTTGAGGATGAAAATGACCTTGACCTTCTTTCACGGTCACAGGGGTCAAATGTGTCAAACACTTCAACAACCTCTTCTGAAGAAATGAAAGGTATAGAATCTTTATATTTGGCTGGTGGCTTCCTTCGATGGAGCCCAACAAAGTTTGAGAATGAAAATGACCTTGACCTACTTTCAAGGTCACAGGAGTCAAATATGTCAAATGCTTCAAACGACTTCTTCTGAAGAACTAAACGGTATAGCATCTTTATATTTGATTGATGGCTCCCTGAGATAGTGTCCGGCAAAGTTTGAGGATGAAAATGACCTTGACCTTCTTTCACGGTCACAGGGGTCAAATGTATCAAACACTTCAACAACCTCTTCTGAAGAAATGAAAGGTATAGAATCTATATATTTGGCTGGTGGCTTCCTTGGATAGAGTCTGACAAAGTTTGAAAACGAAAATTACCTTGACCTACTTTCAAGGTCACAGGAGTCAGATATGTCTAATGATTAAAACGACTTCTTCTGAAGAACTGAAAGTTATAGAACCTAAATATTTGGCTTGTAGCTTTCTGGGAAAGAGCCCAACAAAGTTTAAGAATGAAAATGACCTTGACCTACTTTTAAGGTCACATGAGGCAGATATGTCAAACACTTAAAATGACTTCTTCTGAAGAACTGGAAGGTATAGAACCTTAATATTTGGCTGGTAATTTCCTGGGAAGGAGCCCACCAAAGTTTGCGATGAAAATGACCTCAACCGCCTTTAGAGGTCACAGAGGTCTACAATATTTTAAAGGATTTGTTCTCAAGATCTAAAAGGAATGGATTCATAAGATTTGGCTGGTAGCATTTCAAAATAGAGCTAACCAATTTGAGAAGGAAAATGACATTGACCTACTTACAAGGACACAGGGAAATATACGTCGAGCAACTTTTGAAGAAGAATCAAAAAGCATAGAATCTTATAATAATATTTTGCTGGTAGTTTCAACAGATGGAGCCAACAAAGTTTGTGACGGAAATATTTTTAGTGCAATATAATATTTAATGAGCATATTTTGCTATGACCGCTTTAATATTCAGGTTAGCGATACAGGTCCTCTTGGGCCTCTTGTTCAATTGGTCATCCAACATGACTACCACTGCCTCTGAATGTAAATATTGGGACTAAGAACACTTCTGCAACTTGCATTGGCATCATTTGTGACTAGGGGTAGTGCTGTGGACTTTTGTAATAGCCCCTATTAAAATCAGCACTTGTTATTTGGATAATTGACACCTGATATAAGTGTAAGTGGTTATTGATGTAAATAGACATGATCTATTATTTGTCATGAGTTTATATAGTAACTTTGATTACACAAAAAAACTGTAGGATTTGTTTTACTGTTATGTTACATATATGACCTTTATTCCAGGCATTACTTAAAAGACACAATGATCTGACTCCGTCCTCTACAGAACAGGCTGCCATCCTGGCTCTGGTTACCAAGATACAAGCGATCATAGACAACCTCATCCTGTCACCAAACTCATTTGAACCTGCGGTAAGTCTGAAATACTCACCAGGCTCATTTGAACCAGTGGTGGGTCTGAAACACTCACTAAACTCATTTGAACCCACAGTAAGTCTGAAATATTAATGCTCTCCAAACTCGTTTGAACACATGGTAAGTCTGAAACACACCCCAAACACATTTGAACACATGGTAAGTCTGAAACACTCCCCAAACTCATTTGAACCTGCAGTAAGTCTGAAACACTCCCCCAATTCGTTTGAACCCGCAGTAAGTCTAAAACACTCCCCAAACTCATTTGAACCCTTGGTAAGTCTGAAACACTCACCAAACTCATTTGAACCCTTAGTAAGTCTGAAACACTCACCTAACTCATTTGAACCCTTGGTAAGTCTGAAACACTCACCTAACTCATTTGAACCCTTAGTAAGTCTGAAACACTCACCTAACTCGTTTGAACCCGCAGTAAGTCTGAAACACTCACTTAACTCATTTGAACCCTTGGTAAGTCTGAAACACTCACTAAACTCATTTGAACCTGCGGTAAGTCTGACTCACTCACTAAACTCATTTGAACCCGCGGTAAGTCTGAAACACTCGCCAAACTCATTTGAACCCACGGTAAGTCTGAAACACTCACCAAACTCATTTGAACCCGCAGTAAGTCTGAAACACTCACTAAACTCGTTTGAACCCGCGGTAAGTTTGAAATGCTCACCAAACTCATTTGAACCTACAGAAAGTTTGAAACACTCCATAAGTTCATTTGAACACATGGTTAGTCTGAAAAGCAAGTGATGCAGGATCATGGATTCTTGGAAGCTTTAAGTGGAAGAAAAACAGCCTAGTAGTTTGTGTTGAATGACTGATTTCATCACAAATATCATGTTTTCCCTGCTGTCTACTGGGTCAACATGTTGTATCTGTCATTGCAGCCTGGTGTTCTGGTTGGTTATTTCAGCCTCTAAAATATGAAACTTTTAATGAACGTAAACATGATTTTAAATTTAAATAAAAAATATATTTTACGTTACATATTATTTATCAGAGAGTGCTCTTGTTACTGATAATTTGGTAATGGTTTTGATACTGTATGGTTTTTCAGTATCTTGTCAAATATTATTTATGGGAATTAAAAATCAGTTTCTCAATCTGACTCAACACTGCACACAGGGGTAGGCAGCTATTTCTGTGAACACCTATCTTGTTAGCCATTAAAAATCATTCACAAATCATGTTTTCTAAATGAAATGTAAGTGACATATGACCAGTTATTTTACCAGACATTTATTTAATGTAATTGGCAGAACACCCACCTGTAAAGTGGCACTATTTAAAAAAAAAAAGTTAAACACCAATGAAATAAAGGTACATAGTGCAAAATATCCCTATATCAAGTTACAAATATACCTTAAGACTTTTTCTGTTTTGATGGTAAAATCACAAAAAAATATTATTGATGTCTTGTTTTGGAAGAGAAACCTAGCCTGTGTTTATACAGTAAATGTCTGTTAGATGTTTACCATCAGAATTTGTCTTCCGCAGCAAATAGAGGAAGTTCGTCAGGTCGGCTCATTTAAGAAAGGAACAATGATGGCGGGACACAATGTAGCAGATATCGTCGTCATGCTTAAGACATTACCTACAAGTAAGTTGTTTTGTGATGTAGTCTTTTTAAGGTTTCATATAAGCGCTATTCTCAGATTAACTAAACTCGTGATGATCATATAATGGAAAAAGAAATACAATAACAATATATATAGTTTGGATCACTCCCATCTTCTGTACATTTCGAATTAAGGATCCCCGTACCTCATATGTGACTGCCAAAAACTGCAATTTTGCATTCAGAACTTATTTTTTCCTACAGGACTATAGCTTTGATAAATCATTGCTGTAAAGCAAAGTATACCTTGCAGGACTTTTGGGAAAAATAATGAAGACAAAGTAAACAAAAAATAATCAACATGAGTATTTCGTGTGTATGAAGTCGGCATGCATGGCTGGACCCAGTTTCGAACCCTGAACCTGAAATTGCTATACTGTTGCTCAACCGAAGTAGTCTGGACCAACTGAACTACAGTTGTATCCTGTAAGAAACTAAGAGGATGTAATTTGTTACTTTAGATACAAAAACCACAGTGCAGTGGGACAGGGATCCTTAACTTATTTCTGTACTCTCCCTTACAACTTCCAATAGCACAGCCCTAAGATGTAACAATTACGATATGTTTAAAGTGAAATACAGAGCATGAGAATAGTTTTGCTGACTGTAAAATTTGAAAATGACCTCTTGGAGACCCCATAATAATAATAATAATAATTGGAGGTTCTTATATACCGCTTTATCACCACCTAGTTCGTAGGTCGTCTCAAAGCGGTTCACAAATTATTATCCGTGGTTATAGGGCCTTTGCAACTAGCCAGTACATTTCTCAACTCCCTGGGGAGCATACAGTCGGAGCTGCCATTTTGGCGCTAACAGCTAGCATTCAACATTTCTAGCACTGCCCAACCACGTACTCATTTACAGCTGAGTAGACTGGAACAAGCGGAGTAAAGTATCTTGCTCAAGGATACAACAAATTGCCGTGCCGTGGCACAAACCCGCAACCCTTCGGTCACAAGCCCGGCGTCCTACCACTGGACTACCGTGCCTCCCATATGAAACAGAAATAAAATTTCCTGCTGACATTTATATGAAGACAATTTTGTGTTACAGAGGAGGCAGTTATGGCCCTTGGTAACAAAATCACAGAGGAATTACGCACTCAAGATCCACAGGAAGGTAAGGAGGATTTAAGGCTGTATCCTACGTTACTGTGACATTTATATCTCCTTTCAAAGAGAGTTCCTCATCAAGAAACATAGACTGTATGCCGGGGAACTTTCGCCCAGTTAAATGTTTGTCCTTTTGTCTCAATCCATGTTTGTGCAGTGTTAATATTGCCCTTAACATGTTCTTCATTTCACTATTGTGATGCATTCGCCCTCATTACAGAAGACAAAAAAGGCGAAAATTAAACTGGCGAAATTTTCCCAATAATGCATCATTTTGTTCACCATTTTTGTTCTGATTGTGTTTTCAGGTGAAATTATCAGTTTTCAGTAATAATATACAACAGTTTAGTATGTAAAACTTGAACAATAAGTTAGATACATATAATAACATTGGAACTTCCAAATCCGCATTTGAAATCACAGATAGCGCTCTTTTGATGCATACAGTCAACCTTGCATGATGTTAGATTTAAATATCTGCACAAAAGCTTATGCTATCAGTGACATCAATCGAAGATGTGTTTTATTGCCTATTATTTCTTTAACATCAATATTATTGTCTGCATAGGTTCCAACTTTTTAAAACGCAAGTTCTTGTGCTGTTTATGTATTGGCATATATATGTCTCTATTTAGATTGATTAAAAAGGAAACCTGTTAAAAATGCCATTTGACGTTTTGATCTATCTAAGACTGTTTAATGACCACAGGAGTCGGACATTGTGAAAGCTACCAGCGTTTACTATTTTCATCAAATACAAAAATAATAATTATTCCTTGAAGGACAGCATCAGAGAAACATAGTAAATGGTTTATATTTTCTCACCAGTTTTCAGTATGCTAACAAACGACACCGGGTTTGAGATCAGTTCAGCTGACGCCACCGTCAAGTGTCTCATCACAACTATCCCACCAAATCTAAAGAAACTGGACCCAGAACTTCATTGTAAGTATCCCAGCTATCCCAACTAACCCAAAGAAACTAGACCCAGAACTTCATTGTAAGTATCCCAGCTATCCCACCTAACCCAAAGAAACTGAACCCAGAACTTCATTGTAAGTATCCCAGCTATCCTACCTAACCCAAAGAAACTGGACCCAAAACTTCATTGTAAGTATCCCAGCTATCCCACCTAACCCAAAGAAACTGGAGCCAGAACTTCATTGTAAGTATCCCAGCTATCCCACCTAACCTAAAGAAACTGGACCCAGAACTTCATTGTAAGTATCCCAGCTATCCCACCTAGCCCAAAGAAACTGGAGCCAGAACTTCATTGTAAGTATCCCAGCTATCCCACCTAACCCAAAGAAACTGGACCCAGAACTTCATTGTAAGTATCCCAGCTATCCCACCTAACCTAAAAAAACTGGACCCAAAACTTCATTGTAAGTATCCCAAATATCCCTACCAACCTAAAATACTGGACCCAGAATATCATTTTAGAAACTTGACTCAGAACTTCATCATAGCCTCTGTATTCCAATTATTCCAGGAATTTTGTTGGGAGTTATTTAACTCAGAAGAAATTGGACTTCAAGTTTCACTATTTTAGTAGCTACATATCATACAAATATTAATATCCATTCCCATACTTTAGTGATGGAGATCAAAATCTTTCAGCTTCCTCTTAATTAGTAATTGATATTGTAAAATGTATGCTATTAGTTTTCTTCTGATATTTTCTCAATCTGCATTGTTTCTTTTCAATGGAATTAAGAAATAGTTCTAGGTTATACAAAATTAAATCTAGAAGTTAAAGACACGATCACTATAGTAGTTACATGTGTTGGTAGTGCTTTGGTTCAAACAATATTTTATTTACAAATATGCAGTACATAATATAATATTATACAGAATGTGATGTTAGGGATCTGGCAACAAGAGTAGTATAGGCTCTTATATTAAGCCACCTCCCAGATGTAGTGCTTTGTAAATGGACTGTTAATGTGTATTACAGTGGACGGTAAGGTGATGCAGGGACATCTCGCGTCCATCAGACACGCACGCTGGTTTGAGGAGAATGCTTTCCATTCAAGGTAACCAGATAGTAAATCTACTTACATTCTGGAGAGAAAAATAATTAGGATCCCAGTCCCACTGCACTGTGGTTTTCCCTATATACAGTAAGCTCCCCTTAACTTGTGTTTGGATTTTACTCTAGCACAGTTGGGCCAGCACACTTCCATTGACCGGGTAGCTCAATCGGTTAGAGCGATGGTATAATTACTTTGAAGTACAGTCTGAATCAGGGTCTAGTCCTGCTCAAGTTTCCACACTCAGAACATTGTTGTAGATTATAATTTTTGTTTATTCCATCTTCATTGTTTTTCATAAAAGTGCTGCAAGGTATGGATTTCTTTTCAGAAAGATTTATCAAAGCCACAGCCATGCAAGAAAAAAAAAGATAAAGATAATTTTACAGTTACTGGCAATGGTACAGGGATCCTTAAAGAAAACAAGATACATTTGTGCTGTTATTGTCTTAATTGGACTTAAACTCATTCACCCCTGAAGATACATTTGAACTCTTCCAAATCAAAGGTTGGAATAGTTCATTATGGAATTTCAGGGGTAAATGAGTTTTAAACTGTTTAGAGATATTGATTTCTAATGACAACTTGAATAGGAACTGTCACTTGTTCATGTCAATCCAAGTAATAAACAATGAGTAAACATGTAAATAATGGTTTACTGGTCTTATATGGTAGACTAGGTGGAACAATACATTTAATGACATGTTGATTGTTCTTTCCAGTATCAAAGTCCTAATTAGAATCATGAGGGACATGAAGAATCGGTTTAAGGGATTTGAACCCCTAACGCCCTGGATCATAGATTTGCTGGTAAGTTGTAGAAATAGTCGGTGTAAAACATCACATTTGGAAAATTAGAGTTAACGAAGGAAAACTTTATGAGCAATTTAAAAAAGTATATACTTTCAATATTACCATATTGGTAATAATTGCTTTTTTTCCTAATTGATATTTTCAGTTACATTATCCAGCACCAGTACATAATCTTAGTTTGGACAATCATTGGAAACATCTTGAACTGTAATTTAATCACCTAGCTAGCTACAAATCTAACAACGGGAGTGATTTATAAATTAAGATCGTTAAATTATATTATATGGTTATAAAGGCAATTACTTGCCTGCGTCCATCATGTATCCTATAAAAAATACTTTGAAATCATCTTATTCACTCTGTTTCAGTCACATTATGCCATTATCTTATTTACTCTGTTTCAGTCACATTATGCCATTATCTTATTTACTCTGTTTCAGTCACATTATGCCATTATGAATAATCCATCTCGCCAACCCGTCGCCATCCCAACAGCATTTAAGTAAGTCAGCCAGTCATTCGGAGATTGTGTTCAGCAAATTGTTAAAATTCTAGAGATAAATGAATTGAATTTATAGCAATTGTTCTAATTTTAAAGAGGAATGAATTGAAGTTAAACCACAGGGTAGAATTTTTGTTGTGTTAGTATTTTTTCCCCACATTTTGCCTTAATGAGAAAAGTACAAAGATAATCGGTGAAAATGAATGTTTTCTTTACTAGCCTCATTGCTGATGTCTGATGGTCAGTTATATTTACTTATAATAATGGAAGTAGTTTTATTATTGCTATTGTATTGTCATAATTACAACTACACCCAAACAGGATACAGATTTCTCACACATTTCCCAGTGCATTCCCATTTGAACTTGGTAAGACTTAACCTTTCTTGATCTACCTAGAAAAAGTGAAGTATATATAGCTATGGGTTTGTTTCTTGCTAATTGTTCTGTTCGTTTTTGACAGACGCTGCCTACAACTGCTAGCGGCTGGGTTTTTCCTGCCCGGCTCCGTCGGGATCACAGATCCTTGTGAGCAAGGCACAGTTCGAGTACACACCGTCATGACCCTGGAACAACAGGTAGAGTCCACGCTATTACTGAAGCTTCTATTAACAGACAGTGCACAAGATTTAACCCTTTCACCACTGTAGACCATAATGGACTCATCCATATCAATGCATGGTAGAGTCTACTAAAGTTACATAGGGGTTAAGGTGTATTATAAACAAGAGCACACATTGAGTTACCTCCCTTCTTTCCTCACTGTTGGGATAGGACACCTTATTATTGAAGGGAATGTTTTGTTATTTTATAGCTGTTTCATACTACAAGACATGTTTATGTTGATTATATTGGTCAGTTGTGATAATTATGAAAGGAATGATTTCTCCTGTTTTAGGATCAAGTGTGTTTCACGTCACAGACTCTACTCCGAGTTCTGACTCACGGAGGCTACAAACAGGTGCTTGGCCTGGAGGGCAACTCTAGTAAGTACTGTTCATCTTGTGTAAGATACAAATGATTCCAGTATAATCATACAGGGGTATAACAATCAATACTTCAACAGATTCAAAGAAATGACATCCTCATACATTTACACAACTAATAGCAAAAGAATTGATCAATAGTATATCTAAATATAACTTGTAACTCACCACCCCATACGAACATTCTACGTCTGTTATGTGACATTTTCCATTTGTATACGTTTTCTGAGTTATCCTCCTTTACCAACCCTGCCTTCAGGTTCTTTGACAGGTGTCATATCAGTTATACATTGTCCGGAGTTAACAGATAAGATTTACATTGTCCGGAGTTAACAGATAAGATTTTCCGTTAATGAAGGCTTTATCTAATAGCATTAATACAATTTTAATTCCTCGTCATACATTTCCGTATGATTTTATTTGGTTAATTATGTGACCAGGTATAGCGAGACTTTATTTGGTTAATTATGTGACCAGGTATAGCGAGACTTTATTTGGTTAATTATGTGACCAGGTATAGCTACAGACATGAGTGTGTGGGAAGGTGTGGTGGTGACACCATCAGACAAGGCCTACGAGAAACCGGAGAAAAAGGAGGGGGAGGATGACGAGGATGGAGACGAGGATGATACCATGGAAACCACCGACTCATAGGGAGGAGTGAAATCTCATTGGTTAGTACCAGTCTCATGATCAGATTGATCTAAACATTTCTTGCAAGGACAACAAAAATTCTAATAATAAATGAATTCATATATTATAAACAGAGAGGAAATGTAAAATACAAGAGCTTTTCTATGGTGTATTATATAGAACTGTCAACAAATCAGGAAATATTTTTCAGAGATTAACTTTATGTATATATAAAGCAGCTTCAGTAAAATAGTGCCAACAATATTAATTTGCTTCATTTTCTCTATAAAAGGGAGAGTACTCAAAATAAAAAGGTCGGAGTGGAACTCTTCTGCACAGTTATAATAGATAAAGTGTAACCCTTAACCATATTTCAAAAAATAAAAGTTGCATTGAATCATCACTACGTTGTGTTTATTTCTTTCAGATATGAAAAATATGTGAATCTACATTTTTTTTATTGTGGTGAAAGATGGATAATGACGATGACAAAGTCATTAACAACAAACTGTATCTTTTCCATTAACCTATTCAACCCTAAAGTCACATTTGGACCTTACCAAATCAAAGACTGGACAAGTCCATTTTAAAAATGAAGGGGTGAATGAGTTAAAAACATGGATTTGTGAATGTGTACATGGGTATTAGAGGAAGGTGCTGTTTACAAGACTGTTACCTGTGCAACGATTCTGACTGTAATAGGAGAGACCGTTTCTGAAGTCCTTTCTGTCCGAGAAGTGGAAGCTTGTGTCAGGCATTCTCCTTTGTCCCAGCATTATTCTGATACTGTAGCTCTCATAATGGATTTGTGTTGCATGTCGTTATTTTCACTCTAACTATACAGGTAAATTTCAGTAATTTCTATTTTTAGATGATGTTTTTTATAATGCCTCTTCTAAGTTTCAAAATCACATCACTGTCAGCTGTAATTTTTGTCATGCTTCATTCAGTTAACCCTGTCACCACTGTAGACCACAATGGACTTAACCAGACCAATGCATGGTACAGTTTACTAAAGTTACATAGGGGTGAAAGGGTGAAAAGGGAATCAACACAGTTAAATTTTCCCTTTTTTTCAACGTCAGAAACATCATGTCGTCGAAACTTTCTCACTTTGTAGTAACATTGTTTCATGATGTTGCTTTTTCCTGTAAAATACAAAACCTGGGAGGGTACTGTCATGTGACGATAATTTAACATTCAGTCCAATTTCTGAAATAATTTAGTTAAAAGTTTTAATTCATTTGCATCATCAGATGCATATGTACTGATTATGACAATGTCTTATTGTGTCTGTTTTTACTTGCATGCATGTTGAAAGAAGTTGTCATTTATAAAGTGGTAGCATTGTTATTTTATATTTTGTGATGCATTAGCTTAGTACACTGTTAATTTTGTTTTGGTGAATTCTACAGCTGAGTAGAGATAATTTCCCCAATAGAAATTGGATGTATTTCCCCGAATTCAATTCTTTAACCCTTTCACCACTGTGGACTCACCCAGATCAATGCATGGTAGAGTTTACTAAAGTTACATAGGGGTGAAAGGGTTAAAACATGCTGTGTTTTCTTAATGTCTCTGAACACATCCTGGTATCGTACCATTTTTCATAACACACATGTTCCTGTAAAAATAAATAAAAATGTAAGAATAACTTTGATCCTCAGTTATACAAAGTCTTATATCTTCCTTATTCGGGTTGATATTTTGCATTGTTACAACTATTGGCACCAAAATATGACAGTTTTGTGGGTATATAGTGTCACTGACAACACCACAGAATAAACAACATGATTAATTGTCTCCTCATGTGAACATTTCCTCCTGATTAACCCTTTCACCACTGTAGACCATAATGGACTCATCCAGATCAAAGCAAGGAGGAGTTTACTACAGTTACATAGGGGTGAAAGGGTTAAACATAAATTGATCAAGTGTATGTCAATCAGGACCAAAACCTTGATTTCTTTGTCTAGTGGGTGTAAATAACCTCTGTTTTATAATACTTTGTAAATGGACATGGAAACGGACATCAAACTAAATATTACTGAGCTAGTGCAATATGATGTGATGATAACTACACACTGTGTTAAAGCCGCGGGGAATCACGCTACTGGTATGTTGTTGGATAGGAGCATTTAACAAAAAATATTTAAATTTAAATTTTATTTAAAAAAAAAAAAAAAAAATGTTAGCATCCTCACACATGTACTGTATACGCGAAAATTTTCGCCTTATGCCGTTAAAATCCATTTTCTCCCATCACATCTGATGACTATGTTTATTAATTTCCTTAATACTACCGTCCGCTGTGATGATAAATTTCCTCTCATTACGGAAGGTGTAAATTTCCCCGTGTACAGTATATAGATACAGATATTGGACTATGATGCTAGCTTCACTTAGGAACATACCAATCACATATGTCGTCAAATGTTTTTTATTGTCATAAATAAACTCTACAAGAAAAAAGACGAAATTGTGTTTTTAATTTACCTGTGTGAGTAGATTACTCTGAATAGTGTCACTTTCTGCTCAGCAGTCTATTCGTCTGTTAAGTGAAATGATAGGGTAAGCATTGGGGATTTAGCAAAATTGGTTCTGCTGTAACCCACTATCTAATCGTAAGAGGCGACTAATATTAGGACCCCCTGCAGAATTTTTAGCTCACCTGATCCGAAGCACCATTGTGAGATTATGTCATACCGCAGCGTCTGTCCATCCATCAACCTTGTATAATTGATGAGTCTGACCCCTCGGCCCCTCTGGCTATTTCAACTTCAATTTTGCTAACATTTCCAGGTGTGCGATACAGGATCCCTATATTACATGTTGATAGCTAGAGAGATTCTCCATCTAGTCCTTTTCAATATATAAACACGCCTACGGATCCCTATATTACATGTTGATAGCTAGAGAGATTCTCCATCTAGTCCTTTTCAATA